TCAACCCATGAGCCTCTGGGGACAGATCCAAATGTTATAGTCTGAGATGTAGTGCTTGGAAATCAAACTCTAGATGACTTTATAGATCTTTTCAGTAAGTACAGGATTAATTAATGATTAAGAACAAATTAATTATTTATTTATTGTAGTTGTAAATGGACAGCATGCCTTTATTTTATTTGTTTATTTCTATGTGGTGCTGAGGATGGAACCTAGTGCCTCACCCCAGGCTAGGAAGAATTGTTATCTGGAATTCTTTATGTGGCAGAAGCTCAGCTGAGCCTCCAGTGGAATTCCAGAATCAACTCAGATCTCATTGTGTATTTTACTACTGCATTGGAATTGATAGTTTTTGTTTGCCTTTGAATAACTTCTTTTGAAGAGAGTTATAAAGGAAACTTAGGGTTGTGGAGGGAAAGAAGAGGGAGAATAGTAAAGCAGAAGATGACTTTTAATAACAACCTTGGGAGAAGTAAACTAATTCCAGCCCTTAGAACTATTTTCCTTCATCTTTAAATCAAGAACCTAAAATTCAATTGATAGGGTCTATGGAATCATACTGTGATTCCAGAAGTAGCAGCAGTAGTGCCAAGTCATCTGTTTTAGTCAATAGTTTCATTGCTGTGATCAGAAAACCTGATAAAAACAAAGTAGAGGTGGAAAAGATTATTTTGGCTCATGGTTTTAGAGTTTTAGTCCATAGTCAGTTGACTCCATAGCTGTGGGCCCGAGGTGAGGAGGACATCATGGTGGAAGGGCATGTAGGAGGAAAGCAGCTCTGGACATAGCAATTAGGAAGGGGTGGAGGGAGCGTGAGCAAGTGCTCTGCTCATCAGGGACAAAAATCTAAACCAAAAAGGCATCCCCAGTGACCTACTTCTTCCAGCCACACCCTACCCATCTATAGTTGCTGTACTGCCCAGTTTATTCATATCAGTAAAGTAATCCACATATTAGGCCTTACCTCTCATAATCTCATTATTTCACATTGGGTAATTGTTGCATTGTCACACACATGAGCTTTTGGGTTTACCTCTGAATATTTGAATGGAAGATTTACACTGAATATTTGAATGGAAGGTTTCAAAGCTGGTAAAGACACTTCTTTGTAAACTTTCTATCTGCAAATGCAAGCACTCTTAGCATCAGGATTTTTTGTAGACACAAGGCTGAAACTCCAAGGAAGGGATTTCTTGAGCAAATATATGAATATATAAATTAGTTATATACAGTATTCATTTTTACATTTTATAGAGGGTGGCATGTTATTGATATGCTATTTAGGTTGCTATCTTTGTTTAATATCAAGGTTTTCATAGATGTCTACAGTTTTCTTATAAGGACTTCAGATTCTTAACTAGGTATTTGTTGTAGGAATTTTAGAGCTAGGGACAGAATACTGTTTAAGCTACAAGCATCATTATTTAGGACCCTGGATAAATTTAACATTTGTGGTAATCTATAGAATCTGGGTTAAAGGCCTAGTTTTTAAATGGAAGCTTTTACATGTATTTATGAAAAAGATTATTCAGTACTTTAAGAATTAAATATGAATATTAATAAGATAACTTCAGACCACTTAAAATATTGATTTAGTAAAAGCAAATCTAATAACAGTTTGTCAGTATTTTATTAATGTTATTTAATGATAGTTAAAGTTTATTATGACAACACAAATTCTTTAAAATTTATCACTGTTTAAATCTATAGTTTAACTGAGTCTTCCTCAATCCCCTAAAAATTATGTTTGATTTATATTCATCAGATAGACTTTTATCCCAGTACTCCAAATAATAATAGTAATCAAGGACAGCAAAGCATCTTCCCCACATCCTGCCTTTTCATGAAAAAGCAGGCGGTGGCTGAAGTGCTTCCTATGGTGCCGTCTCATACCTCACCTTCATTTTGGTTCTGCCAGCCTGGAGCTGGTCTTTCAACTGAAGCCAGTGGAATGCTCAGGTATCTTCTGACCTTTTGCTCTTAACAAAAGCTTCTGCCAGTGTACCTTAAGTGTGAATCAGTCCCAATTTGTGTTAAGAATTTCTATATTTTGTAACCCTTCAAACAAATTTTCTCCATCAGAGTTCTACACTCAGGGTATTTTACTTCAAAATCTGAAATGTTGATGCATCATCAAGTTGTTAAAGGTAAAAACCATTGTTTCTCTCTAAAGAGAGGCTGTTTTCTGCTTGGATGTATCTTAGGATTTCTGAAGAAGGCAAAATGAACAGCAGTTTGGGCTTGAACCATGAGCAAACATCTGGGAAAACTGCAGGGTACCATCTGCAGATGTTAGTTATCCTAATTATCTAATGGTTTTTTAACTTCCTCTTGGCTTGTCTGAGGCTATTTGTGCTGCTATAATAAAGTACCTGAAACTAGTCAATTTAAAAAGAACAGAAATTTATTTTCTCACAGTTCTGTAGGCTGAGAAGCCTAAGATAAGTCACCTGCAGGGTTCATGTCTAGTGAGGGTCTCTGTTTCCAAGATGGCACCTTGAATGCTGCTTTTTCTGGAGGGGAGAGATGCTTTGTCCCACATGATTGAAGGAAAAAGGTTTAGGCAGTTCTCTCCATCTTTTTTAATATAAAACTGCTCATCCCATTCATTAGGTGTCTGCTTTTATGACTACTTACCTCCTAAAAACCCCTCCTCTTAATTTTGTTACATTGGGGATTCATGTTTCACTGTCAGTTTTGAAAGTTCAAATGATAACATGGCTTTACCAAAATTTTTTTCCATATTTCCAGATGCTTTATTAATCCTCTTGGGTTTAGGTGAACCCAGAGATAGTATTGCCTGTTTTCTTTTAAAAACAGTTAAATGGGAAGATATTGGTCTTTCATTCTTTCTTGTGGACACCTGAAAGATGTGATGGTCTTTATTTTGGTTTAAAAGAGCTTCTCTCCAGTTCTTCTTACTTCTCAGACTGTATAAATGGAAAAAAAAAAATCTCTAGAAGAGTTATTGCTGAGGCAGAAAGGCAGAGGGAGGAATAGGCCTCTGAAATCACATTCTGTTTTTTTAAAATTTGAATTCTGGAGACTGCTTTTCAGCCTCATTATCTCCCTTATATATGTTCCAAAACAGATGCTATAAGCCCTTTGTCTCATCAGACTTCTTTTTCACCCTGCACATTTTGAAGACAGCCTGTCAAAAACAAAACCACAGATCTGAGCTCACTTGAATTCCCTTTTCCTTCATCCCTAACCCAATGTGCATATCCATCCTTGCTGTCTTTTTGCTTGTGAAGGGGAAGAATAAAGATCACTCTGAGATCAGTTTTTTTTTTTTTTATATAGTACTCTTAGTCCCTACCCTCTTACCTACAGAACTTTTTTTCTATCAATTATCCTCATCAGTTCTCTTCTGGCCCCTTTCACTCTCCAGCACTCACTTTCCTCCCATCCTAAAATCTCCTTCCTTTGTCCTTCCTTCCTTCCTTCCTTCCTTCCTTCCTTCCTTCCTTCCTTCCTTCCTTCCTTCCTTCCTTCCTTCCTTCTTTCCCTCCCTCCTTTCCCTTCCTCCCTTCTCAATATTTCTAGTTGTAGATGGACATAATACCTTTGTTTTATTTACTTATTTTTATATGGTGCTGAGGATCGAACCTTGTGCCTCATGTGTGCCAGACAAGTGCTCTACCACTGAACTACAACCCCCAGGCCCATCATTGCTACTTTCTTAAGCATAATATTCTAAAACAATAACCTGTAGTCACTTGCTTGCTCAACTCCAATTCTTTGCAAGTCCAGGTCCATTCTCACCTCTATCCCATCCCTTCTCTGAACCTATTCTCACAGAAGTCTTCAGAGTTTTCCTGTGGTCACTTTCTACCTCTCTCTACCTTTTGGGGAGTCACTGACCATTCATTCTGTCTAGTCAGAGGAAAGGTCTGATGAGTTTTGGAGCTCAGAGTTCGAGCACACTCATTTGGTACTGTCAGGTTTCCTCTTGTTTTTGTATGTAATTTCAGATTACAAGACTTTAAAAAAGCTAAACCTCTGTTAGGGTAGTAGTAATTTCTGTTCTTATGGTCCAAACTGCCAAGTTTGTATGGAGGCTTTCATAGAACCACATAGTTTCCATTTCCTTCCCCTAAGTTTTCAAAAACAAAAGTAAAACAATTTATTAAAACTATTTTTTTTACCTTATATTTGCCTAAGAATCATATTACACAACTTGCTCAATTTCTTTCTCTAGCAGAGTATCTTAATGACCTTGGATTTCAGTTTCAAGATCTGCCTCTGTGGATGTTAAAATGGCTTTACCCAGGTGTTAGGCAACTTGTAATGCCTAAATGGTTCCTGACACATAGGAAATGCTCAGTAAATATTTGTTGGATGAATGAATTCCCCAAGCAGCCTGAGAGATCACATGCAGTTTTAACTGATTCCCTATCTTATATCCCAGTTGATTAGCTTGAAAGGCTTAATTATGAGCAAAATGCTTAGATCTGGATGCTATTGTAGTCCCTTCAAAACTTTGTAAAGCAATTATTCTTTTCATGTATTTTCAAAAGGGAGAAGCAATATGAATCATTTAAAAGTCAAATTGAAATCATTTTTGCCTCCACAACCAGGGTAAAGAAACCTCCATTTTTTTCCTGTAATTTATACATGTAAATTTATACATGTAAATAGTTCATACTGTCTCTGTCCTCCTAGGCAGTATTTCTGGAGTGAGGGAGTTATTTGCTTCTGGTTTATATAGGGCACTGGTGTGGTGAGCAAGTAGGTGTTCTGTGTGCATTGACTTTAGAATTTAGATTCTGGAGAGTGATTTGATTCATTAGGGACATGAGTTGCCATTGGAATCCAGGCTGTGCTCTCAGGACCCCTGGAAACCTGTTCCTGGCTCAGCTTCTTACTCTTACCTCTCAGAACTATCAGTTTTGTCTCTGTGTATTGAAGTTATCTATGCTAATAATGGAAGTTTCTAGTTAATTCTGTCCCTATTGGTGTCTGTAACTGACAATATATTTCTCAACTCTTGTTCACAGAGGGACTTGTCAGGGCACAAGAACATTGTGGGTTACATTGATTCTAGTATCAACAATGTGAGTAGCGGCGATGTATGGGAAGTTCTCATTCTGATGGACTTTTGTAGAGGTATGTATATGAACCATACCCTTAATCTCTCATTTCTCTACCATTTTGATTGTCAAGGGCATGAGAATTCATAAGGATTCTTTCATTTAATGTGCATTGTACCTACCCTGAAGTATGTCATTTTAATTTTACAGATAGGAAAACTAAGAAGATGTAAAGATATAGAATCTGCTGTCAACCTTGATTATGATTGCAAGAGCAGTGGTACAAATAATTGACAGTGATAAATAATACGATCCCCATTTTTGTTAGGTTTGGGAAGGTTTGGTCATGTATATAAATGAGAACACATGAGAATGAGAATGAATGTGTCCTTTGTGATGCTTTAAAACCAGTCATGAAGGCACATAATAAAGGCCTAACTCCAGATGGAATAAAGAAGCAGCCAGCTTCCCTGCCCCCGCACTTGTGTGTTTTTTCCCCCACTCACACCACCATCCTTGTGTAATGGGGTAAAAGAATTCTTTCTGTCCAATGGAAATAACTTTCTCCACACTCGAGCTATAATTCCTAGTAAGGCTACATTCACATGATGTTGCTGTTAACTGTGGAGTTTAAATAGTTGGAAGCTTGAAGTTTCCAACATTTATCTTGAGAATCCAGACTGATAAATGAGTATTCAGAGTTGACTGTGTTCCATACAACTATTGTTTAGAGGTTTGGCTTTTTTTAGCTAAGCACCTGGCACCTACAAGCTTGGATCATTGTCTTATTGTGCCCTGTTTTGTAATTGCCCTTAGTTCCACTAACATTTTTCTGCCATTAACAATACTGCCTATTAAATATGTTGCTCATATATAATAAATATATAATTTAATATAAATTAAATATGTTGCTCATCTCAAAAATGAGATCTAGTAATTTCAGCCTTCATTATATGAGCTATTAACATGATTTTGTAAAATACTACCAAATTGACAATTTATTTCCGCCCAATTACAGACCAGGCAATATGGGAACATTCAGGGATCTGGATAATTCTGTGAGAGAGGTCATCAGTCTTTTGATCTTAGAGCTGAAGGTTGGCATAGCATTTGCACAGGCCAGGCAGTTAAACCAAAGTGACCAAGCTTTTCCTAAAGTGCAAACTAACACTGTATTCCTCCTGCTGCCTGAGTCTGTTGTGCCATCTGATTTTTACTAAAAGAGGACAAGTTGAGGCTGTAGCCTTATCTCATACCCAACGGGCATAGTAAAACCAGGGAACTATAGCAAGGCAATATTGTCAGTTCTTTTACTAATCTTGAAGACATAATAAGGGCAGCTCACATCTGAAGTACTTTGTGAAATAAAGAAAGTGATTTTGATGTATTAGAAGAGGCACTGGATTGTAAGAAAACAAATTCCAAACCAAGAGTCTAGACACCTGGGATTTAGTCTGACTTGACTGGTGATTAGTTCAGTAACTTTAGTTCAGGTTGCTCCTCTTTGGATAGCCATTCATCCTTCTGGTCTACATGACTAGTTTGACTAAGATTATAACCTCTTCTTTGTACCCCTATCAGGAGGCCAGGTGGTAAACCTGATGAACCAGCGCCTGCAAACAGGCTTTACAGAGAATGAAGTGCTGCAGATATTCTGTGATACCTGTGAAGCTGTTGCCCGCCTGCATCAATGCAAAACACCTATTATCCATCGTGACCTAAAGGTAAGAGACCACACTGTTCATTGTGTTCTTGATAAATATTTTTTATCTGGAATAGATATTTAGGGATGTAAAAGAAGTTTAAGGCATGGTCCCTAATTCTAAGCTTATGTTCTACTTAGAAAGAGAAAATACAAAGGAAAAACTAGGGTATAAGTATCAATTTTTTTTTTAAAGAGAGAGAGAGAGAGAGAATTTTTTTAATATTTATTTTTTAGTTTTCAATGGACACAACATCTTTATTTTATTTTTATGTGGTGTTGAGGATTGAACCTAGCGCCCCGTGCATGCCAGGTGAGCGCACTACCGCTTGAGCCACATCCCCAGCCCCACAAGTATCAATTTTATGAGTAACCTTCAGAAATTCTTTATAATTATCAAATGCCTGACCTGTGGTATTTTTTATTGTTGTTGTTTATTTGTTTGTTTTTTGCTATACTCCCAAATTCATTTTTCCAGGGTCATGAAAAGTAATATATTAATTAAAATAGTTTATTAACAATGATACTTGGTTTCAAAAGTCTATTTCAGGGCAGGGGTTGTGGCTCAGTGGTACAGTGCTTGCCTACAATGTGTGAGGCACTGGGTTCAATCCTCAGCACCACATACAAAAGAAAATAAATAAAATAAAGCTATGAAAAGAAGTCTATTTCATGTTTTACGAAATCCATTATTTTAAAATTTGGTCCTACTCATTACCATCAGCTTGCAGTCTGCCTTTCATATTATAGTCACTTGATAATGTTTGTTAAATGGAATTGGCACCCAATTAGGTTTCAACTTAGCATTTATTGAATGCCAACTGTGTGCCATGTATTCTATTACAGTTTATATGTACTGTCTCTATAGAGGGAGACATTTTTTATTACATTTTAGAGTTGAAGAAACCAAATAGCAGAAATGTTATGTGATTTGCTTAGAATTGTATGATTAGGAAGAAGTAATACCAGAATTTGAACCCAGCTCTTCTGATTCTAAATTACAATTTCTTTTCATTATACTTGTGTTTCAAGAAACATGCTTCATAGCTAATAAATTGCATCAGTGTCCCATCCTGTGTTAAATATAGATAGCTAGGTTTCACCCTGAATTAGGTTAGAACTTTGGTGATGATGCCAGGGAGTCCCAGGAATTCATATCTTAATAAGCGACCCAGGTGGTTTTTGTATATTTGAAAACTTGAGGATCATTGTAGCATACTAGCCTGTCTGTCTTTTTTTTCTTTCTTTTTCTTTTTAACAATTAGAGATGTGATTGTAATTGTAGTAGGCTCATAGTAAATATTCACATGCCATAAAATTCATCTTTTAAAATACACAATTTATCATTTTTTACTATAAGACTGTACAAACTTATCATTATGTAATTCTAGAATATTGCATCATCCCCCAAAGAAATTCTATATCCAATAATAACCATTCCTCATTCCCTTCCCTTGCATTAGCCCCTGCCCACCACTAAATCTACTTTCTATGTCTCTATATTTTTATCTTCTGGACATTTCATCTACATAGAATCATATAATATGTCACTACTTATATCTGATTTCTTTCACTTAGCATGTTTTGAAGGTTCCCCTGTTGTACTGTGTATTAGTAGTTTATTTCTAGCCATATAACATTCATTGTAAGTATCTAATACATTTTGTTTATCAATTCATTCATTGGTGGACATTTGAGTTTTCATTTTTTGATTACTGTAAATAATGCTGCCATGAACATTGCCTGCCAGTTTTTGTGTGACCTATTTTGAATTCTTTTAGGTATTTATCTTGAGATATTTATCATATGGTGACTCTGTGTTTTACCTTTTTGAGGAACCTTCAAATTGTTTTCTAAACTGGCCACTCTATTTCACATTCATCAGAATGTGTAATATTTCCAATTTGTCCCCACTCTTACCTACACTTGTTACTATCCTTTTTTATTTTAGCCATCCTGGTAATTGTGAAGTAGTATATATAGGCATTCCTGTAATAAAGCAGGGAGCGTACAGGAAGATAGGTAAAAACTCCAAAAGCCTTGGCTTTCTCCAGTGTACCTCTTCCCACATTAAGCCTCCTGGGCCTAAGGAAAAAAAGGAGACTGCATCTTGGTGAATATTTATTATGAGCCTACTACAAGTATGTAATATTGTGGGAATGGTATAGCTTTAGCTATACTACATTCCTACCCACAAGATGTTTCAAGTACTGTTGGTGAGAAGATATAAATGAAATATTTAGGCTTGAAATAGGAAGAGGTAAAATGCAAAAATCTATAGAAGAAAATGATAAATAGAGGAGCATATGTGATCAGATAGCAGGAACAGTAGTAGTGATTGTAATTTTCTGGAAAAGTCATATTTCGAAGGGGTGGTGGGATTTGAGTGGTCAGAAACAATAGGTCAGAAACATTCTAGGTAAAGAGTAGAGTCAGAGGACTACATATAGAAGGCAGTAACTAAGGTGTGTGGAGTTGTGGAGTTAGGCAAGATCTGGTACATGGCTAGTTGCATACCAGGTTAGTCTCACTGCAGGTCATGTGTTGACTCCTGAAAGCCCCACCAGAAGACTTACAGAGCTAATTAACAAACTCCGCAAAGTAACAAGTTTCAAAATCAACATACAAAAATCAGTGGCTTTCCCATACACCAACGATGAACCTGCTGAAAAGCAAAACAGGAAAACAATCCCATATAATAGAGTAGCCTCCAAAAAATAAAATACCTAGGAATCTAACCAAGGAGGTGAAAGACCTCTACTATGAAAACTACAGAACAATGAAGAAAGAAATTAAAGAAGACACTGGAAGATGGGAAAACCTCCCATGTTCATTAGGAGGCAGAATTAATATTGTTACAATGGCATATTACCAAAAGCGATATATAGATTCAGCAGAATCCTCAGCAGAATACCACAGAACTATAAAAACCAGTCCTAAAATTCATTTGGAAGAAACAAAGACCCAGAATAGCCAAAGCAATTCTAAGCCAAAAAATACAAATCAAAACTCTACTTAAGATTTTATCTCATACCAATCAGAATGGCAGTCATCAAGAATATAAACAATAATAAATGCTGGAGAGAATATGGAGAAAAAGAAACACTTTTACACTATTGGCCGGCAAATTAGTATAATCACTGTGCAAATCAGTATGGAGGTTCCTCAAAAGAGTAGAAACCATCATATGATCCAGCTATACCACTCCTTTATATTTATCCCAAAGAATTAAAGTCATCATATTATAGTGATGCATGCCTACTCATGTGTATGGCAGCAGAATTCACAATAGCCAAACTGTGAAACCAGCTTAGGTGTCTGTCAGTGGATGAATGGATAAAGAAAATCTTACACACACACACACACACACACACACACACACACACACACAAAATGGAGTTTATTCAGTCATAAAGAAGAATGAAATCATGTCATTTGTAGGAAAGTGGCTGGAACTTGAGAATACTGTGTTAAGAGAAATAAGCCAGAGCTGGGGTTGTGGCTCAGTGGTAGAGCAGTTGCCTACCATGTGTGAGGCACTGGGTTTGACTCTCAGCACTGCATATAAATAATAAATAATTAAAACTATGTCCATCTACAACTTAAAAAATAAAAATTAAAAAAAAAGAGAAATAAGCCAAACTCAGAAGTCAAGGATCCTATGTTTTCTCTCATATTAAAAGCTAGAGAGGAAAAAAGAAAAGAAAGTAGTGGGCAGGGAGATGTCTCATGAAAATGAAAGGGAGACCAATAGAGTAGAGGAAAGGGCCCAGCAGGAGGGAAGGGCAAGGGGAAATACTGGAGGATGAGATTGACCAAATTAAATTATTATATGAAGATGTGACAGAGAATCTCACCACAATGTGTAATTATAATGCACAAATAAAAATATGGAAAAAATACATAGATAAATGTATGATTTTTCCTAGTTGCCTTTAGCAGTCAGTGAAATTCTTGGTTAAATCCTGTTAGCATGTGTGTTAGTCAGCCTTATGTTACTATAACAATATGTGATATAATCAATTTATAGATAGAAAAGTTTTATTTTGGATCACAGTTTTAAAGGTTCCAGTCCATGATTGATTGCCCTATTGCTTTGGGGCACATGGTAAGGCAACACATTATAGCAAAAGGGTTGAAAATTTAGCTCATTGTCAGAGCACTTGCCTTCCACATGTAAGTCCCTAGGTTTGATCCTTGACCCTAGAAGGAAAAAAAAAAAAATGTGTTGCATAGAAAAATCTTTCATTTTATGACCAGGGAGCAAAAACCAGAAAGTAGAAGGGACTGGGTCCCATAATCCCTTTCATGAAGACACACCACTGAAGACTTAGAGACCTCTACTAGGTCTCACCTCTTAAAGTTTCCATCACTTCCCAGGAACACTAGCCTAGGGGCCAGTCATTTAACACAAGGCCTTTGAGGGGCTATTCCAAATCCAAACACATGTATTTCTAAATAAGAAGTGATACCAAAATTTAAGGACCTGACCCCTCTCTCTGCCACTCACTTTGGAGAAGAGTTTGTGAGGGACATGAAAATAGGGGAGAAGTGTGGCTGGCAGGCACTGTTTCTATGGCCCTTGTGATTTTGGGCCTCTTTTTGGCCCCATACCCCTGTCAAATGGGGTTGGATTTCATATTGTTTAAAAATATTTTTTAGTTGTTGATGGACCTTTATTTTATTTATTAGTATGTGGTGCTGAGAATCGAACCCAGTGCCTCACACATGCTAGGCAAGCACACTTCCACTAAGCTATAACCCCAGCCCTAGATTTCATATTTAAAAAAATTTTTTATTTTTAATTGTCTTAATAATTGAACATATTTATGGATACAGTAAAATATTTCAGTACACGATACAATGTCAGATTTCCTATTTGTCAGATTCTTTAACACTGTGTGACTGATACCAACGGATTTATAGATGCTCTGAGAGATGAACATAGGCAGCTTCCTCCATGTTACTAAATGCAACATTTTCAGCCCTATCTAATTTACTGTGTTCTGACAGGTGAGAACA